GCAGTGATTGCCAAAGATACGGTGCAGAGAGGGGCTGGCTACCAAGAGACACAAGAGGGAATCGCTGAGACAGAATTTCTTTGCACCATGACTGTGTGGATGGATATACAAGCCCAGACATTTGACAAACCCCTTAGACCCCACCTCCCAAAGAGGGAAAATCGCTATGAGTAAATTAAAAAAAATTTAAAAGGCCATCAGGGGGCCCAGCGCGGTGGCGCAGTGGTTAAGGTCCTCGTCTTGCACGCCCCAGGATCCTATATGGGCGCCGGTTCTAATCCCGGCAGCCCCGCTTCCCTTCCAGCTCCCTGCCTGTGGCCTGGGAAAGCAGTCGAGGACGGCCCAAAGCTTTGGGACCCTGCACCCGCGTGGGAGACCCGGAAGAGGCTCCTGGCTTCGGATCGGCATAACATCGGCCGTTGCGGATCACTTGGGGAGTGAATCATCGGACGGAAGATCTTCCTCTCTGTCTCTCCTCTCTGTATATCCGCCTTTCCAATAATAATAATAATAATAATAAATCCTTAAAAAAAAGAAATATTAAGTGGAAAATTCTAGAAGTAAAATTCATAAGTCTTAAATAACCTTGAGCACTTCATATTGCTTTGGTTGTTTTATTTCATTATTAGTGTTGTTAGTCTTCTATTATGCCTAATTTATAAGTTAAACATTAATACAGATATGCGTGGCTAAGCGAAACAACAGTATGTGAAGGTTCAGTGCCATTTGCTGTTTCAGGTGAGACTGCTGTACTCACACTGTCCAGCTCCAACCACTAAAGGCCCAGAAGCGATGATCCCCAGTGGCAAGGAGCTGGTATCCAGATGCTGATCCCTGAACATTCTCCATTAGGGAATCAGGTTTCCTTGGAGAAGTGTTGGTCCAGCTGGCGCAAGGAAAATACAAGGTGAGCCTAGTTTTCTGTGTAGTCCTGGAAGGCAAGAAAAGGCTCCAGATAGGATAAGGGCACAGGAATCAGTATCTTGAATTGATGTTATGATATGGATATTGGTCTGGATGTTCCCCCAAAGGCCCATGGGGTAGTGGCTTGGTCCTCAAAACCTGTATCCTCCTTTAATGGTTAATGGATTAATGTTAAAGGTTGATGGGCTAAGGCCAGAGGCTTGATCCAATTATGGTGTCTGAGAGGGAGGCCTACAGGAGTTCTTTGGGTCGCCGGGGGTCACTTAGGTAGCAAAAAGCAGTTTCTGTTTGAGGGTTGGTTATAGAAGCCAAATTCAGAAGTACGCGTTTAGCCTAATGGTTAAGGTGTCCATGTGCCACATTGGAGTGCCTGGATTCGATTCCTGTTCTGAATCCCAGCTCCAGCTTCCTGCTACTGCAGGTGTTAGGAGGCAGTGGTGATGGCTCAAGTAATTGGGGGTCCCACCCACCCACACGGTGACCTGGACAGAGTTCCTGGCTCAGCCCCTGCTACTACCGCCACTGGGGGAATGACTCAGTAGGTGGTAGCTCTCTTTTTGCCTCTCTGTCTCAAATTAAAATAAATAACTGCATGAATTTTTAAAAGCTGGATCCAGCCTAGCTACCTTCTCTCTGCTTCCCGGCACATTGTGATCATTCTTCAACCTCTACTCCACCACTGCCCGTCTCCAGCCTCATCAGACAGCTGCTATACTTATCAGCTGCCTGACCTTGAACTGTGAGCCTCCAAAACCGTGAGTCAAAATAAACCACCTTCCTAAGTAGCTTGAATTAAGTATTTGGTTGTAGTGATAAAAGGTTAATACATCTGATATAGAATAAGTTTATTTAGCTCACAGGTTTTTGGAGGTTGGAAGTCCAAGAGCAGCTGGCCCTACTGGTTAGACCTCCAGCAAGCACAGTCTTGATGGATGAAATGGAATCGTAGCATCAGTACCCAGAAACACAGGACTGCAAGGAAACAGGAGTCAACCTGTAAGAGTACCCAACGGCCAAAGCTGGAAACATTCCAATATATACTAAGATAAAGGACAATGTGATTAGATTATAACCCATGGGATAAAATGAACAAGCAGAGTTCCTACCAATAGGAAGAACTGATTCAATAAATAAATGTTTTCTCACAGGATAATTCCAATTAATAAAAGTAGATTAGATGAGCATTTGATAGAGCAGTTAGGACACCTCTCGAGCTGCCTGCATCCCACACTGGAGTGCCCAGGTTTGTATCTTCTTGGCTTTGCTACTGATCCCAACTTCCAGCTAATGTACACTCCAGGAGGCAGCAACGATGGCTCACAGAGTTGAATTTGCACCGCTTACATGGGAGATTGAGCTTCAAGCTCCTGGCTGTTGCAGGCATTTGCGGAAATGAATCAGTGGATGGAAGATCTCTGTCTTCTGCCTATCAAATAAATACCATCAAATTTCTTTTTTATAAAGGTTTTTTATCTCATCAGAGAAGCAAATTTACAGAGGGAAGTGCGGACAGAGAGAAAGATCTGGCATTCACTGGTTCACTCAAGCGGCAGCAATGGCTGGAGCTGAACTGATCCAAAGCCGAGTCAGGAGATTCTTCCAGGTCTGCCACATGGGTTCAAGGTCCCAAGGCCTTGGGCCATCCTTCACTGCTTTCCCAGGCCACAAGCAGGGAGTTGAGTAGGAAGTAAAGCAGCTGAGACATAAATCAGTGCCCATACAGGATCTCTGACCCTTGAAGGGGGAGGATTAGTCAATTGAGTCATCATCCCAATTAATTAAATTTCTAGAAAAATAACACCGCAGTAATAACTGTTGCCTACAAGCCACCAATGGACACTACAATCAGTAATTTGAGGAGAAACAGGATATTTGCATAGTCTAAAATCCTCTCCCTTAAGATAATAATGAACTAAAAAGGGAAAACAGTAACTTCACAGCAGAAAAAAATCCCTTTATCAAGCATTCAAGCTAAATATGAACAACAGAAAATACTGACACCATGAATCTCATGACATACAATCTCAGACAACTGGCAAATGGACATGACTTTCATGGCCTCCTTGTTAACAGACCCCAATGATGGGACAGCCTACAGAATGACAACTGGTCTTCATCAATGACGACAGCATAATGAGCAATAAGGAAAGAACAAGGAACCCCTGTAAGTGAAAAAGACTAAGAGAAATAGCCGAAGACTGTGGGATCCTAGCTCACATCCCTTGAACCTAGTGGAGGCTTTGTGTTGGTGTCCGGACCTCCTGCCTGGCTGACTTCCTTTATTCATTCTACAATGACCAAGGTCTCAGACTTTGCTGGACTAGCCAAAGAAAGGCAGGGCTGGCTGCGGGGCTGTGAGGGGAGGAGTGCCCGGGTGAGGGGTGAAGAGCAAATAGCCACATGCTTTCCTGCATTCACTGATCCGCTTGGGGCTCCTGCTTTGCAGGGCTGAAAGCTCTAGGGAAGCTTGTTCTGACTGTAGACTTATGTAGCCCGTGTTGAAAGTATTCCACCCGTTTATGCCAATGGAATGTGAAAGCACTCAGGGCTCACGTGTCACATTTATGGGCTAGTCACCAAGTGGCTGCCAAGCAGCAGCAAGACGGTGCATGTTGGCAGCTCCTCTGCCAGGAAGCAGGTTAGGTCCTGACAGACTGCTCCAGAGCGCCCTGTTTGTCATTCCAGTCACCTGGGAGGGGTGCAAGCTCGCAGCCCTCCGATGTGTCTCCACCAAATCACAGAATCTTCAAATTAAGCGCACACATTGCCACTCTGCTAAGAGTGTGCACTCTCGGGCATATCTTTACGCAACAAATGCGGAGTTTTACGACATTGAAAATTCCACTGGGAGATAATATCTGCAAATATCATAAGAATCTCGTTAGCCGCTCCATGTGCACCACCCCCAGTGTGCTTTGAAGCTGGGTAAATTCAAAAGGGCCTTTTGCAAGGAAATACCCATGGCTTGGGGCAAGCACTTCAGCTCTCCCAGCCTCCAAGTCTCCTGGCCTGGCCCTCCCCTCTCAGAGCTTCGAGACCCTGGGAGGGTGCAGGTAGGTCCAAGTCACTGCAGCAGCGGCGAGGAGCTTTGACTCTTTGTCCTTACAGCCTTCTCTAGTAAATGACTCACTCCACGGACAGCAGGGACATTCATGACTTTTTCACTGTGTTCCATTTAATAACAACAGTAACAAGAATGAGCAGGCTAAGCACCTGTTTCAGATGCCCATATTCCATAGCAGAGCACCAAGTTCAAGTAACGCCTGGTTGTTCTGCTTCTCCTCCAGGTTCCTGCTAATACAGTCTGGAAGGGAGAAGGCTGAAGTTGTCGGGTTCCTGTCACTCACATGAGACACCTGGACGGAGTTCTGGGCTCTCAGCTTTGACCTGGCTTAATGTTGACTGCTGTTGGCATTTGCGGGAATTAATGGATAAAAGATCTTCCCTCTTATCCTCTGCCTTTCAAATAGATGAAAATAAGTGAATACATATTTTTAAAATATGCCCATGTTCTACACAGGAGTCCTAGGTTCAGTACCCAACTCCAGCTCCTGGCTCCAACTTCAAGATCACAGCTCAAGTACCTGGATCCCTGCCAGCAACCTGGGAGATATGGATGAAGCTCCCTGCTTAGGCTTGGCCCCTAGTCCAGAACATGAGGGGCATTTGAAGATGGACTAGCAGATGTAGTACTCTGTGTGCGTGTGTGTTTCTTAGCCTCTCTATCAACTAAAAACAAAAAAGTTTTTTAAATTGCAAAGTGTCACAGCACACCTTAGCTCAGAGTCAATGACCAAGAATGCAGATCCTGGATATTTCTCAGGACAATCCAGTTTTTTAATGTTTAAATGTGTTTAACCTTCATTTGATTGAAAGGGAAAGACAGACAGGAGTTGGGGGAGAGGAGGACTGGGTAACGGCCAGGGGTGCTGATCGGCATCATTAAAGGCACAGGCGGCTTTTCTACCCAAGATCTCTTCTGACCCCAAATATCAACCTTGTTGAAGCTAAAAACCTCACAGATAAGGTGAAAAGGAACCCCAGCAAAGTAAAAGCATGGCCCAGACCCCCTGCCCTTTCCCCTAGCCCCAGGCATCCGTGTCCTTTGGCACAAGGTTTTATTGCCTGTCCTTTCTTTATCAAGAGGAATTCACTAAATTGAGAGAAAGTCCTCAAGGTTCTAGTCACAAGGAGCCTCCTGTCTGCTTGCAGATAAACCTTAATGGCCAGTATCCTCTTTCTGAGAAATCCTGGAGGAAATGTAACCACAATTCAAGTAACCCCTCCCAGGCCTGGCAGGAACCCACCAGACCATCGTAAATTCCCTAAAGATCACTGCATCGCTGGCCAATCAGGAACCTTGCACGTACATACCTCGCAGCCCCCAATTTTCACCCATGGCTACTCGGGGAACCCAAAAACTAAGCAACAGTTGCCCAGCTCCTTGCTCTGCACATTGCAATAAAGACTAGCTCTCTCCCTGACGTCAGTGTCTGGCTTTCTGCGCATCAGGCGAGCAGACCCAGCTTGGGGGTTCTGCAACAATGCCTCCAACAAGTTTGGGGTGTTGTTCAGCAACAAAGGGAGTCTGTGGTGCTCATTGAGCCCCTTGCTCAGCCTCATCCTGGCCAGAGGAATACTGCAGTCAGACAGGGAGATGTTGCTGCTTGCACTGGGTCTGTTTCCATGTGGCTAATGACTACATTTACACATTGTCTGGTCCCACAACCTCCTCCACTCCCACCCCTACTCCAAACAGTTAGTCCATAAGTCTCTCCACCGACAGTGTCCTGACAGGCCAAGCGTGTGATCCAAAGAGGTGAGTTTTTCTGCGGCGCGGGAGCATTAAAGACAAAAGCGTAGAGCCTATATGGAAGCAATCGGTGGGGCGGCAGTACGAGGGGAAGTGAGGCGTTGGCAACAGGAAGCCCTCTCCCTCCCCAGCAGATAAAAATCAAGAAAACTCTAACCATGGGGTGTCGGAGGAGTGGGGGACTTCAAAGGCGCCCAGGGAGTCCTAATTATTTTAGCAGGCAATGAGCTCATGCTCTGCAAGAACAGAGGTAGAGAAAGGAGAGTTGCAACCGGATGCGGCTGCCCAGAAAGTCAGCTCCACTCTAGAAACCAGAACCAGGCGTGTGCTGCTTCACTCACTGCAAAGCCCAGGGGCCACGCTCTGCTGCGGAGGCATTGGCTGGGCCAGGCACACACCTGCCTCTGAGTCCCAGCTTCGTGTGTTGGACACACTCTCACTGAGCTCTGGTGCTCAGGTATGGAGCCAGAGTTCACAGTAGGGGCCGCATCTGACGCCAGTTGGCAGTCATGAGCAGCGAACGCTGGGATGCGTGAGATCTAGCATTTGGATGGAGTATTGTGCAGAAAATTCATCAGGCATCACAGCTAGTCATTTGCCATTATTTATCCTGCCTCTGTTTTCTTGGGCCTGGGAAAGACCTGCCTGGGGTTGAAAGCTGCAACCCCAACGGGAGCTTTTCATTTAATGGAATTGACATTGGCAAAGCATTCCATACAAGAAGACCAGGTAAGCAAGTTTGGCTCTAGTCTTTGAATTCTTAAATCCCACTTAGCAGTAAGCCCTCCTCTTACCCACAGTTCTGTTTCCCAAAGTTCCAATGATCTCAGGTCAACTACAGTCCAATAATATTAATGGAGAATTCCATAAAGAAACCATTCATTAAGTTTTAATTAATGAGCCATTCTGAATAGCATAAGGAAATCTTAACACCCAATGCTCTGTCTTACCCAGGACGTGACTCATTCTTCTCTCCAGTACATCCACCACCCTTAGTCACCCATTAGCTGCCTAGGTTATAAGAGCAAAACACACACACAGCATATATGCGCATCAGATTTGGAACTGTCTGATCCTGGCATCCACTGAGGGTCTTGGAATGTCTGCCCTGTGGCTAAGCGGGGACTACTGCTTCCTCCTGAAGTCCCCAGGGTAGGCTGACCCGGAAGCTAATGAAAAGAAAACTTTAGGCTTCTCACCACTCTGCACTGCGCTCCTCTCCCACCCCTACCACTCCCAGGGTAAAAGGAGAACCTCCTCAAGGTATTCACAGGTACATGGTCTTTTGCTCCTAAGAACTTCACGGCGATAAGGTACTTCATCGTTCAAGACCACTGCCTCTGTCTACTCTGCTTTCCCTGTCGCCGCGTTTCTCCTTCTGGACGTGTTGGCAATGCTCACGGGCATTTCTCCGCATCTGAGGCCTCCTGCATTCGGACTGAAGTGATACACTGAGGCCATCAGATCCCAGGTCAGCTACTGCTGGTCATCTGGAGCAGGACAGGTTTCCAGGCCTGTTCCTGCCCCGATGGTGCTCCCTCTGCCCGTACCGCCTTGTGAAGACTCAGACCCGGGCTTCATTTCAGGATGTCCTGCAGCATCTGGAGCTGGGGAGGAAAAACAAGCTTTGAGGTTGATGGGACCCTGGGCTAGTCTAGAACCAAGTTTTCCAATCTCCGAACTCGGGTAATGGTAGGCCCACTCAGAACTGATCGCTGGCCAGGGCAGGTATTGGGGCGCCGCTGGGTAATGAGATGCCGGTGTCCACCTGCAGAGTGCCTGCAATAGAGTCCCAGCTCTGCACTGGCTCCAGCTTCTTGCTAATGCAACAACAGTGAGGAAGCAGGCTTCAGTCCCCACCACTCACACGGAGATGCAGACGGAGCTCCTGGTTCCTGGGTAGCCTCCCCAAGTCCGGCTGTTGCAGACATTTGCACAGTGAACCAGCAAATGGAAAATCTCTCCTTCTCTCCTTCCTTCTCGCTCCCTCTCCTGTTCTGCCTTTCAAATAAAACTGTTTTTAAAATCCATCCCTGGTAAAAATAATCTTTTCAGGAACATTAAAGAATCATCCAAAAATATTTGTCCCGCATCTGGTACCATAGCAGAGGAAGGAGGGCAGAACAAATTGGTCAACTACGCCAGAGAAGCTTGCCAGCCAATTTCTTGACCAATGGACTGTGTCAGCCAGCGGGCCTTGGATTTCCTCCTCTTTGGATCTGTGACATCATGTCAGAACTCTGACACTACTGAAACCACGTGGACAGAACCCTCAGAGTATGCTCCGCACCGGGCACCCCGGGACGACATGGGGTGGCTGCTTCCCATCCCTGGGTACTGGGGCGGTTGGTTGCTGGGTTACGGCTTCTCCCCTTCTCTCCCCTCTTCCACTACATATAGGAAAAAGGTAAATTGTAGAAATAGTGTTTCACCCGCTTTCCTTTATTCTTTCTCCGCCCTCACACCCTAGTCAACTGTGTAAACATCACCAAAAATAAAATTTTAAGTAAAAAAAAAAAATTTTTTTAAGAATATCTGGCCCAAAATGAAACAAAGGATTCATTAATCAGTTAACATTTTTTTCTTGATATTTCACAATCCTTTGACCCTTAATTTAGTATGTATCATTCTACATTCTCTTTCTTCCCATAAAAGCTTCAGCCCCAAGCCTCTGACCTGCTCTCATACGTTTATTTCAGCTCTTTGAAGAGCGTCGGCTGGAGAAAAAGCGAGAAGAAAATTAGACTCCCTAAGTAAATGACCTGAAATAATTCCATTTGAGCGATCCGGCGATTCTAGACAAGGGAAAATTCTGTGTTTGTTCTTCCTGCGAAAAGCTAAGCGAAATGAGAACGTGAGACGGCAGCTCACCCCACTGCACGTTCCTGTAAGGCACAGTCCTCTATGGCCGTGTCGGGGAGGAAAAAGTACTTTCCGTATAATATGAAATTAGAAAACAAAAACACCTAGCGTTTAGGCCGCGTCAACTTTCTGCCCAGGTCTTTCCTGGGCGTGTCCCCTCCCGCCAGCACCCCGCGTTCACGCCCACTATTGTGGCCCGCTCCCAGCCTCCCGCCCTCTCCGAAAGCCAAACACACGCCGCGGGGTCGCCAAAGTGCGCGGTGGCGCCAAGACGCACTGTGCAAGTTCAGGGAAAGCAAGAGAACTTTAAAACAACAACAACAGCAAAAACTCCATCGGACCCAGCAGGAAGCCTTCGAGTAGGTTGGCAAGCGGCTAGCAGTTTTAGTTCTCACGTCACAAACACGCCGAAAAAGAAGCCCCGACGCGAGCAGCGCGTTCGCAGTCGCGAAGCTGCGCCAGGTCTCCGTGCGCTCGGGCGCGGCCCCCTTTCCCAGCCAAGAGCAAACGTGGCTTCCTCCTCAGATCCGAGCACAACTCGGGCCCCGAGCGGCACCCCCACCCCCCACGCCCTCTCAAGGCCTGGGCCTGCGAGCCGAGCGCCCGAGGGGCTGCAGACAAGGGCGGCCTCCTTCGCCTGCCCCCCGGAAAGCGCCCGGCACCTCCCCATGGCGGTGCTCGGAGTTCGTATCTTTAAACCCCGTGCTTTCTCCCTGGCAGCCAGCGTGTCCGTTAACGATCGCCAGCCGCTGGCGGGGTCTGGACGCCACGTGACCGCGCCACGTGACGCGGAGCCGCCCCTGGGGCTTGCTTGTATTTGAATAAGAAGATCGAGCTTCCCATGGCAGCCAAAGCCCGCGGAGCGCGGCGCTGCAACGTGATCCCCGGGGCGGGTTACACAACGCCGAGGAGCTGGGCTCGGCCCGGCCGCCGCTCGGCGCCCAACCGCGGCTCGCTGCCGCCCGGGGAGTTGTTTTCTAAGGATCGTCAAACAAACAGGGTTTTATGCGTTTCCAGAGTGAGCCGTCCATGTTCCCTTTGGAAAAATGGTGATCCTGGAGGAAGATTGAGGCCCAGTTTCTCCAAACCCATGGGAGTGCGCGGAGCTTAGTATGGCAGAGAACCAGGAAGAAAAACAGTCTCCCTTTCAAAACAAAGATTCCGGATTGATTTTTTTTTCCCTTTGTTTCTCCTTTTCTCTCCCTGGAGAGGCTCCAGATAATGCGCTTTGCTACTGAACCAAAAACGTACACCGAAATGACACTTTAAAAATTTGTAAATAGAAGTGGTACGTTTGTTCTTAGCATGTCCTGTAAAGCAGGGAGCAGGATTAGTGTTCCCTGTGATGAGAACCCTGCGCAGGTTGAGGTGTGTGCCCTGCGCATGCAGATTTGCCTCTGAAAAGTTCCTCCTCCTCCTCTTCTTACACCCGCGTCCACCCCAGGAAGTAGCATCTTTACTGTGCGTCTTTTTAAAAGATTTCTTCGTTTTTATTGGAAAGACAGATTTACACAGAGAAGGAGACACACAGAGAAAGATCTTCCATCGGCTAGTTCACTCCCCAAGTGGCTGCAACGACCAGAGCTGAGCCTATCTGAAGCCAGGAGCCAGGAGCTTCTTCCCTGTCTCCCAAGCAGGTACCGGGTCCCAGGGCTTTGGGCCATCCTGGATCACTTTCACAGGGAGCTGGAAGGGAAGCAGAGCAGCCAGGATATGAACCAGCACCTGTGTGGGAATTCCCACATGGGGCAAGGACTTAGCCACTAGGCTACCGTGCCAGGCCCTTACCAAGTGTCTTTAATGCTGCCGCTTCCCCCCTGCTGAAAAAGCCTGCGATGTTTTTGCTTTCTCCTGCCTCTGAGGGTTCTCTTAGGTGATGAGTTAATTGCAGGAAAAAGAACAACAACAACATTGCTTACCTTTGACTTCAAGCTGAAGCAGGACAGCAGGCAAGTGCATTCTGCAGCCCATTTGTTAGGTTGCAGTGGTGGAGTCATCCGTTCATTTCACATAGACTGCCTGACTGCCTCTTCTTCCCTCCCGTTCTGCTTGGCTGCGCCGGAGTGTGGGGTGTGTGTCGGTGGGGGAGGGGTCTGGGAGTCACAGGTGCAGCATGGAAAATTCCTTTCTGTCTTACTGACATCGTAGCAGGGACCAAGGGCCGGGTGCTGTTGGCCACATGAGTTTGCCAACAGAGGCCTTAGAAGGAAGGGCCGAAACTTAGCCAGTGCCAGCCAGTATCGTGGGGACGCCCAGAGATAGCATGGTGCGGTGTGCAGGTGTCCCCCACCTCTACTTCTGATCCCCCATAGACGAGGGTCTTGGTGGAGAGGGTTCACGGCCTCCAACAGCTGACTATGCCATCAGGCAGAGCTGCTCTGTGGAGTGAGCCCTCCTGGCACAGTGCTCAAGGGATGGCACAGACTCAGCAGCTGGAGCACCAACACCTTCCCACAACTGGATGCCCAAGGAGGTGCCAGCCTAGGGAGACATGATGGAGTGCAGCCACAGGCAGGCTTCCCAAGGACCAGATGCTGTTTCCCTGCCGTGAGAGACGGCGTGGAGACCTTCCCCGTCAGCATGGACCTTCCGTGAGTGAGAGTTGAAGTGTGTTCTGGAGTTGCTGGGTCTTTCACGATCTTGAGTGGGAGTTGGCTAGCAGTCAGGACCCAGGAAATGGAGGGAAAGGACTTGGGTATCATGGTTCACATGACGTCTTGGTTGGGATTTCCTAGAGCCTCAGAAGCTGCTTCACAGGGCAGACCTGTTGACCACTGTAAACAAGGAAAATGGCCAGTCAAGCCGAAGTCGGGCGTGCAGGTGTCCTGAATCCACCAGCTGGGAAAGGCTTTTTAAAAAAGGCAAGCGCCTTGGTGTAGTTGGCTAAACAACTTCTGGCTACAATGCTGGCATCCCATGTGGGCACTGGTTCTAATTCTGACTGCTGTATCCAACTTTGTGTTAGTGACGCCTCTGTAACTCTTGCAAGCAAAATAAATAAAACTTTAAAACGAAAAAAAAAAAAAGAGGAAAAAAGTTTATTTCAGAAGCAGAGTTACAGAAAGAGCAGTACCGATCACTTCTTGCAAAAAAACTCGTGCCATTGAGTGTGTCAGTGTGGAGAAGCTACTATGGAAAACAGAACGAAGGCTCCTCGCAAATTCAGATATGGAATTACCGTGTGATCCAGCAATCCTGTTTCCAGACATATATACTCAAGGGAATGAAAGCAGGGACACAAATAGGTACTTGTGTGCCCCTGGGAACGCTGCAACACTATACGTAGTTAAAAGCTGGGAGCAATCCAAGTGTCCATGGATGGATGAATAAAGAAAATAAGACATATAGGTACAGTGGAATGCTGTCCAAGATACATTTCATTTTTATTCTATTGGCTCAAGGATTTCCGCTTCCACCTTCCCTGTTCCTACACCACCCCCAACTATTTTCCCCTATGTTATTAAAATAGTATAGAACTTAGCAGCAGTCACAAGTCATTCTGCTGTTTAAGTGTGTCATGATATTGTAGGTATCGACAACGGCAGAAAGTCCACTGTCCTATTGTCAAGCTATATTGAACAGTTTCGTTGGGAGTCCATCTTCTACTTGGGAGTAGAGATGCACACTGCAATGTATCTTCACTTCTCGGTATGGTAGTCTCTATTATACACTTCCTCTAGATGAATATCTGTACATGCGTGTTTACCTATATGTCTGTTGATCTTGTATGTTGCCTTATGTCATAGAGAGCATAGGACATTTTTCCTTTTGGGATTACCTTATTTCACTGAGCATAATCAAATCTGGGACCATTTTGTTGCAAATGGCATAATTCCGTTCTTTTTAATGCTCGAGTAGTATTCCATGCAGTAGATGTGCCACAGTTTCTTTACCCATTGCTCTTTTGACGGGCATCTGGGTTACTTTCGTGTCTTTGCAATTGTAGATTGTGCTGCTGTAAATATAGGATTACAGATCGCTTACTCACATGCAGATTTCATTTCCTTTATTATCCAGGCTTTAACAGGAAGGAAATTGTGACACATG